AGAAATAGCTGAAGATGTTAACAAATGGAAAAACATACCATGCTCATGGCTGGGAAGAATCAACATTGTTAAAATGTCCATACTACCCAAAGCAATACATAATTTTAATGCAATCCCCATTAAACCTCCACTGTCATACTTTAAAGATCTCGAATAAATAATACTTTGTTTTTTATAGAAAAATATAAGGTTTATAGAAAAATATATGGTTTATATAGAAAAATATGAGGTTTATAGGAAAAACCTCAAATAGCCACGACATTACTTAGAAATAAAAACAAAGCAGGAGGAATCATGCTACCAGATCTCAGGCTGTACTATAAATCGATAGTGATAGAGCAGAAAACACAAACGGAATTCAATAGACAGAAATTAGTCAGCCACGGAGCATGCCTGACTCCTCTACTCATATGCCTTCCCAGTCATGGCCATGAAATCACATTTAACTTTCACTCACTCACTCATATAAAACTGAAACATACAAAAGATACACAAACCAGAGCCAGCACAGTTGACTGCAAAAAACCAAGACAACCCAATAAAAGACTGCAATTTACCAGAACAGGACTAGCCTGCAAATCCAAACAGTTTAAAAAGACTGCTAATACCAAAATAGTCTAATAAGGAGTTGCAAACATAAAAACACAGAAACAAACAACCCAAACCTATACCAGAGAGACAGGGGACGTCTCCCCCTGTCCTGGTAACAGGTGTCTCAGGCTGTGTCCAGCCTAGCCTATTTTTCCCCCAGATTCTCTAGAGACCCAGACAGACTTACTAAATTGGAAAATTTAGGAACCTGTGCCCAAAATTAACATGCCCAAGAGCTTTTGGGGCAGAGAAATTTCTCTGAGAACTTCCTCTGGAGCTGTTGGGTGGCGGTGAGCCAAGATGTGTGTGTGTGTGTGGGGGGTCTTATCTCGCTGGGGCCTCCAAATGTGGTACCCCCTATGATTGGAAAAGATAGAGTCAGACCCCCTCTTAGATGTAGTTAGTTGGTAATTTATTATACCTGCCACAGGGGCTGCTGCTTTGAGAGGCAGTCAGCTGCCAAGTAGGAGGGTGGGTTATCTTTTATAGATTTTGTGCAAGCATATTACAGAAGTGAAATGTGGCTGGTGAAGGGGGGTTACAGCTTGGGTAGTCATGGATACAGCAATGGTTACAGTAATGTAGCAATGGTTAATACAACCTTGGTGGACAATGGATACATCTCATATCACAATGGTTATGGTTATATAACAGTAATTAAACAAGTCACAGTGAGTTTTCCACCATTGTTCATCTATTGAGAACTTGGGGGTTTTGTGAAACTTGGGACTTTGCTTCCTTGTTCTGAAGCTTGTTCTTGGCAACCCTAGGGGGAAGGAGGGGCTTTGGAAACATGGCTGGGAAGGCCCTTAGGGTGGGGGGGATGAGAGAAAGCAGGGGGACCTGGGGGGAACAGGAGCTTACAACAGGAAGATCAGGGAGCCACCATCCCCTGCCCATGGCAGAGAAAAGAAGCCTGATTCCAGAAGAGCAGAAGATCAGCCCAGAGGAGGCAGTTTTCAAGGCTGGGGATACTGGGGAGATGGGTGGTGGTAACAGGGCCTGAGTGAGGGAGCTCCTTTTCTTTCAAGGAGAAAAGGACTGAGAGGGTGGCTCCCTGGAGTTGGTGCAGGGTTCCAGGGGAGATAGGCAGGGGTCCTCATGAAGGGCTGTGGTGGCCAATAACAGAAGGGAGGGGGATGGAGGGTGGGGCCAGGTGGCTGGCCAGATGAGGAGAACAAGGAGACGTCAGAAATGAGGCCGTGACAGCTGGCTGTGAGCAGCCATCCAGACAACTCCATCCTGCTGCCCCCACAGGTGCTGGCCACAAAACAGGGAAAACAACTTAGACAGAGAACCTGTTGAGACCGCCAAGGAGAAGTGGCCATCGGGGTCCCGGCCTGACGTCCGTGAGGATCAGCCCACCTCCCCAAAGCGCCACTGCTGGCTGTCTCCACAAGCCCATGTGTCCAGGTACAGTCCGCTGTTCAGAGTCCTCAACCACTTGGACGGGCTAGAGGTGCTTCTGGCCAAGTTTCAGCCCCCAAGATGCCTTCATGCCCAGCTCCGGTGGTGACCGGCAAGCCAGAGCCAGCAGCATGCCTGGATCACGTGGCAGCTGACCCACTCCGGAGCTCCCTGCACTGGGTGCTCGCAAAGCTCCACGCCTGCTTGTGCCCCTTCCCTGGCACTCCGGCACCCTGGCCTATGAGCCGGCTTCCTTCTGGATGTGGGGGGCTCGAGGTGACAGCACCCTGGGCTGGTCGCTCACCCAGTACCGGAGGCCCGGAGATGACTCCCACCCTGCACTACACACCCACCTCGCGCTGGCCGCCCCCACCGCACCTCGCCCAGCAAAGACGGAGCCTCCCACGCACGCCAGAAAGAAGCATGTGCCCACCGAGCCCAGCACTCGAGCACCAGAGGTTCCCCAGCCCTGCTGCTGCCCGCATCCTCCCCACCACGGGAAATGGCTCTCTGGCTCTG